GGGTCCCCCCCATGGTCCCCACCTCCTACTTACCAGCTCCGAGTCCGGCTCTAGCTCCCTGCTGCAGGCAGCAGGGTCTACCCAAATCATCGAAGCTCTTCGAATCTTTTTCAAATCAATTTGGAGAGCTTCAAATCAATTCAGACCTTTTTATTAGTCCTCTGATTCGATTCAGATTTGGAGATTCAGCCACTGAATCAGGCCGAATCTCCTTTGAATCGAATCAGCACCCGAAGCTTTGAACAGCCCTAATAGTCATCTATGTGCTCAGACTGGGCATGTGTACTGGCAATAAAAACCAAGGTACCAAAAACAGTTTGTTTTTACTTCAGTAATAAAACAATTGTTGAAGGTACCTGGTCCTCCTAGAGCAGCTTAAACCATGGTGAATTCATATGCATAACAAACTGCCTATTCAAAATCAGAAGAGGTCTTCAGGGAAGAGAAGGAGCCCTTTGTCCCCTAAAATGCTCAGTGGTTTGGTTTCCTGCCTGCAAAGCCAGAGGACCTTGGTTCCAGGTTTTCCCCATCATGTAGAGGGTGTTTCTAATTTCCCAGCCCAGCACTAGAACCACCACACCATAGGTCAAACATCAGCTGGCTCCAAGGAGTCTGCATCCTATTGACTTTTGAAGGTAAGATTTAGGTGCTTTACAATTTTTACTCTCCGTTATAAAAGTTCTAATTTGTTCTTCTATAACATACTCTGCAGATGGCAGAGAAAACCTGAGATGACACAAAGGTAGAGAATCCTTTCCTAATGAAGCAGAAACATCAATTCTATTCATATTATTGCTGCTTTAAAAGAGAAGTCAGGATTTTAAATCTTGTAAACTATCACTCATAAATTCCTATGTAGCTTAAAGAATCCAGGATAACAGCTGCACCCAGGGACAGTGTTTTGCTGTTTCTCTTTTAGAAAGCTGGAGCATTTTATTGTAAATGTTCAAAAATGCCTTCTAGAAACAAAACTAAGTTGAATCAACACAGCCACTTGGAGCAGTACATCTTGCTGGAGGACTTGCACTGCAGTTGTTTTGTGTCCCTTCAAAACACTGCAGCCAAACATAAGTTCAGTCTTTGTATATCTGTTGTTTTCATCGCTAGTAATTAGTAGATCTTTTAAAACCCATTTTTCTGTGAGTAAACCATGTTATGTTTGGTAACTGTGATTTTTAAAACTTTCCCATGGAGTAACTGATCAACTTTCAAAAAATCGGATAGGATAATATATCTGCTGCATTAACCTAAATTTAATGCAATATATGGTGAATAATGAAAAATGTGATTCTGCTTTGACAGGGAATACAAGGTGCAAGTGGAAAACCTGGATTTCCTGGTGTTTCTGGACGCCCTGGAAATGAAGTGAGTGGTGCTACAGTACTTGTTCTGTGTGCAATGAAATGCCCAGTCTTTGGTCCAGAGGCCGCCAGTGAGCCCCAGAGCACTTACCATTGGTTTAGGGGAAAGTGTCTGGTCACATTGCACTAGCTTTAATTCATTTTGCCAATTACTATATCCCAGAAGAGAAGCTGAGCACTTCCCTGATATTGCTTTGCCATGTAAATGGCAGTTGCCACAGTGATAGTATTCAGTAAGCCAGGGGTGGCCAATCTGCAGCATGTGTGCAACAAGTGACACAGGTATCCTGTGTGTGTGACATGTGGCAGACTGGGGAGGGGACAGGCAACACAGCAGCAGGCAGGGCAGGAAGCAGAAATCAGAGCAGCAGACTGGAAAGGGAACACAGGGCAGAGAGCAGATAACAGAGCAGCAGACGGGGCAGAGGAAGGGAATCAGAGTGGCACTTGGGGCAGGTGCATGGCTTATATGTGGCACACCTACCAGAACCATTGGCCCCCACTGCAATAAGCAATAAGAAGAGAATTCTCCACAACTTAATTTGGAATTCTGAATCTACAGTTCACTCTACAAAGAAATTTGGGATTTCCTGATGTAAATGAAATATTTAACACTCAGACTCAAACCTCCTGGTAAGTGCCAACTTCTACAGAAACCTGTTAGCACCATTATTTTTAAGAACATCAAATGTAAATGAATAATTAATCTCCTCCAGATTAAAACTTGGCACAGGAGCTCTCTGCCTGTGAATGCTCTTTTGGTTTGTACACATTTTGAAATAAATTGCCATTTTTAATTAGAATTGGAGAAAAAAAATAGGAGCCGACAGATATTTAGAGGCTTATGTGGATTTTTTACTTAATTACCCCAGAGGATTAAGTGAATTGTTGCGGATCAGTTGCCAATTGTTCTTTTAGCCCAAGGATGCTCAATCTCTGGCCCGTGGGCCATATATGGCCTGTGGAGCCTTGGAATCTGGCCCACAGGTTGGGAAATTTGCTGGGTCTACTGGCCACATCCAGCCTACAGAGCAACTGCCCATCTGGCCCTCCAGCCTAAAAAGGTTGAGCACCACTGTTAGTCCTTTGTCACATTATAACAATGCCAAATGTGTACTGGTCAATATGCAAACAAAATAAATAAAAACAATTGCAAACTTTTAAAAAATATATCCATTTAGAGCCTGATCCAAACCCACTTAAGTTGTCAGAATCTTCCATTCATTTCTGTGGGCTCATGAACATTGTTCTTTGTGCATTTGGAGGCAAGCAAGGGTATTTTCTGTTTTCTTTTTCAATGGTTACTTAATTATTTTACTTACTTAAAAGCTTTAAATTTACTTTACTTACTTAAAAACTACTTTTTTATTGTGTGCAGGGTCCAAAAGGGGAGAAAGGAGACACAGGACCCAAGGTAAGATGGGATGGAGTTTCGTGTTACTGGGGTGTAGGTTGCAGTTGTGCAGGGGTGTAGGTTGTTGGTCCAAGAACATAGGCAGACAGGATTCTTTGGGTAAATCCAATATCTTTTATTAGACCAACTCAAATAGTTGGAAAAAATCTTCTTTGCAAGAAGAAAAGAAGAATTTTTCCAACTATTTGAGTTGGTCTAATAAAAGATATCAGATTTACCCAAAGAACCTTGTCTGCCTATGTTACTAGCTATCTATTTGTGTTTAACAAATGGTCTTTCCGTCTATAACCCGGTGGATATAGGGTGAGCGAGGACAGGATGGTGCCAGTATTGGGGGACCGCCAGGTTTACCAGGACCGCCAGGACCAATCGTAGCAATTCCAGAGGTAAGTATGAAGTGGGAAGGTCATAAAAGGCATTTGGTCCGACAGCAGTTAAGGTGCCTGTTCTGGTGCTATCTGCCTGCCCCAAAAAGATAAAAATCTATGCACCATATAGCTATAGTTATATGTATAATCAGGACAAAAATGGTCTTTTAAAGAATGAAAAATACAGAAATGAGCATAGACTTTAACAATGTTGGGGAGGGGGCGGGAAGTGGAGGGGACTGTTGATTGATTTGATTCTGCTTGAGCCATCAAAGTTGAGGAAGAACTAAGAAAAAGAAGCAACAGAAGAAGTTTGATGAACTGGGTAACCTGTGACCTGGCAGTACACAGAAGAACATTGCAGCTTTGACTGGACTTCAGTGTGCAGTCTGTCATACAAACCAGAAGACTAGCCCTATTACCAAGGCAGCATCTGCCTGCATCAAAGTGCATGCTGCTAGAAGATGATACAAAGAACTGCACATCTTTTAGCAACACATGCACTTGCTGTAGGGTTTTATTTTGTATGTTAGCCTTTCTGTTTATGAATAGTATGAATACAAACAAAGGAGCTTGAAGGTTTGGATACATCAAACTTCAATCTAAATTAAAAAACCCCTGTGCATTCAATTTGATATGATATTTGGAACTGGGATTGGAATGTTCCTGTCGCTGTGCTAGTGAAAAGAAAAGCAAGCTTCTCAGGTCCTCAAAAGCTTGTCTAGCATCTCTCCCAGTTGATTCATTTAAGATATGACCAGAAAATCTATGATTCTGTGAAATCATAGAAATCTATGATCATTTGTATTGGGAACTGAAGGAGCTGTGTATGGCCACAGACAATTCATTCACTCATGACAGCCTATCACAGTTGGCATTCTTCTTAGGATAGGATGTTGGATAGATATCTTCAGCCTGAAAAGGCTTGTCATCCCAGGATGGCAGAGCCTCAGAGCCAAACAATTTTAATTGTAGGAGTTAGGCCAGGGACAGGCAAAATACAATCTTTGGGCCAGATCTGGCCCTCCAAACCATTCTATCTAGCCTGCGGGGCCCCTCCAAAAAACAGCAGCAGGCAGCAGGTCCTTGTGGCACTCATAGTGCACAGTAGTCAGAGCGCCCCTGGCAGCATGTGGCTCTGGCTAAGTTCCAGGGGCTGCAGATGGTGACACAGAGCAAGCTTGGTTTAGGTTGAAGGCATGTGCCAGAGGGCTGGGCTGGCTCCGTGCCACCACGTGCAGCCCCCGGGACTCACTTGGAGCCACACACCACTGGGAAGCTCAGCCAGTTACAGGCCATGAGCACCCTAAGGCCCCTCCAGCTTCTGCTGCTGCTGCTGTACCAGCGGTAGGGACTGTGTGCCATGGGGTAGGGGAGGGCTGTGTGATGGCGGGCTGTACAACCCTCCACAAACCCCACAGCCACACAAATCCCCCCACTCATCCACACACACTCCCTCCCCCCGCAGATCCCCCACAATCCCCACCTGCACACACACCCACAAACCCTATGCCCCTCACAAACCCCACACCCATACCCCCTATACCCCCCATACATGCTCACAAACCCTACATACCTCCACAAACACCACACCCGCCCACACACACACTCCTTTCTTTTTCTATTTCTCTAAGTTACCAAGCCACAGTCTTCCCTGCTCTGTTTCATGCAAAAGAAACTTCTCTTAGTTCATTGTCAAAATGTGCAAATATGAAGTACCTTTGGCTGTTCTGCTCTAAGGGGTTTTATCTTTAGGTCATTTTGAAGAGTCAGTAAATCATATTTGTCTTTGCTGGGTTGTTTGCACATCTTGCTTTTTCACTAAACAGCTATAAGTAGGTGCTGTACAGAAATCTTTTTGTTTTTCCTTGAAGAGAAAACTGAATAGAAATAAGGGAAAGCAACTAATATAATTTCATTTGCTTTCACTAAATTCCCATTTTTAATATACAAGATATGATAGGAAGGTCTGGAAATATTCTGATTTCTGACATATGAAGTAAATGTAGGTAATTTTGTATCATTTGTTTGCTTTCTGCAATTCTGCCTTCAGTATTTAATGGCTTTTGGGTGGGAAGCTGAAAAGTCTATGCATAGTGTGCAGAAATCCATTTAGCTAGCTATGCTAATAGTACTGTTTCTTCTTCAGTATATCAATAAAAATAATGGCAGGAGGCAGGGTAGGATAGCGTTTTAGATACTAAACTGATTCAGAGAGCCTGTGTAGGCAATAGCCTAGTCTTTCAGATGCTACCCCTCAGTGAAAAGAATGTAAAATATAGATATATTGCCATGTTTTGGCCAGGTTTTTTTCTGTCTAGCATTTTGTCTCTCATAAAGCTGCATGAAATTCCAAGCAGTTATGTTGCTATATCATTACTGGTAAAGCCCCCAGAAACAAAAATTAAGGCAAATAACTATTCTTGGACAGAGTGAAGGGCCAGGAGCCCGCTGTCATTTTTATATATTTTAGCACTGCTTAAAATGGTGCTTTCCTAACCCACAGCTTTGGTTTGTATTTGAAGTTTAAGATTATTTACACAGTATACAATGGATGGTCAAAATATACAATTTCTGGTCAAAAGTTTATTGAGGGCAATAGGAGTGTCTCCTTTGATTTGGGTTGGGTCCAAAATGAATGGTAAAATGCAGAGTAAATCCATATTCAAAGGAATGTACAAATGCAGAGCTCTGGAATTCTGCCATCAGCTACAGATAGAGCAGAGCATTGCAACAGCTAAATGCTTTTATTACAGTCATACAGAACCTAGAGTGTGGAAGCAGTATGAGCCCACTCCTCCAAGATTCATGCTGCAGAAAATGTACAAATGATCTGCCCCTGCTTCTGTTTCAGGGGACGAGTACTGCCCTAGGGACCTAAACGTGGGTCTATATATCTCCACGCAGATTTCAGTATTAGCATAACTAGAAGTGGCTAAAGTAGGGCATTAGCTTTAGCTAACTTAAAGGGAATGCCAGAATGGTGGCTCCCTGGGGAGCTGTCATTGCAGTGGCAGCCCGGTGTTGCACCAGTAGCAGCTGCTGCTTCAGCAGCAGCAACAGCTGGGGTGGGGGAGGGGAACGCAAACATTAAACTAGCAGGAAAAGCTGGAGTCTTCTCTGAAGTAGGTAAGACTGGCAGCCCACTCTGCTCTTTGGTAGAGTTTTGCCCAGGACACAGAACTTGTTAGTTACACCCCTGGATTTCAGCTTTTAATTTTTGACATTTAAGTTCCAAAAAATTGTGGCAAATGAAGGAAGGACATCCAGGAAAAAAATAAGAACCTTCTTTGATTCAGAATACTTGGAATGGAATTAACTGGAAATGTGCCTTCTTCATTTTATGCATCAGGCTGAGTTGAGAGAGATGATCAAAGGTGTCCTACTACAAGGAAGGCTTTCTGTTGTTGTTCCCTCCTGGAAATATCCATTTTGTAAACACTTGTATATTTGCAAGCCACGGTGGCAAAGGAGGATGGTTCCATGTTTTATTGGTATGGTGCTAGATACATTGTACCTTATGATTGTGAGCCCCATTGCGTTAATGGGGCTCACATTTTCCCCAATATTCTGATGGCAGCACACTTCAGTACCAAATGCACTGTGAGGATAAGGGCTTATCTTGCACCCACCCAATAGGAGACTGGATTTAGTAGGAGTACAACACACACACACACGCACAATTCGATACTGGCATGGGCAGAATGACTTGCCCAATAAAACAGACAAATTTAAGCCTGTAAGAGTGCCGATGCAAGCAGTGCTGAGATCAGCAGGAACTAAATTGTTGTGCAACAAGTGAGACTATCAGTATGGAAGTAAAAGAAACTAACCAGTTGATGAACACGGAAGAAGGATGAGTGATTTAGAAGATGTATGCATATAGTTAATGAAAGCCAAACTCTCACCATTTTGCCATACAGTATGGCAAAATAGGGGCCTGGAGGATAAGCCCTATGAAGAGAAACTTTGGGAAATGTGTCTGTTCAGTCTGAATAAGAGAAGACTCAGAGGTGACTTGGTAGCCTCCTACAAGTATATTAGGGGTGAGCATCAAGATCAAGGGGAGCAACTTTTCAGGAAGGCTCCTCAAGGGAGGATGAGGACCAATGGGCACAAGCTAATAGAGGGAAAACTTAGGCTGGACATAAGAAAATCTTTTTTTCTGTAAGGGTTACCAGAATCTGGAACACACTCCCAGCCGAGGTGGTGCAGTCGCCATCCTTGGAGGTGCTTAAGATGAGGCTGGATAAGCACCTTGTTGAGCTCATTTGACCCCAATAACTTCTTACCCATGGCAGGGGACTGGACTTGATGATCTTGCAGGTCCCTTCCAGTCTTTCAATTCTATCATTCTATAGCTGTGTTTTAAGATAGTGGGGGTTAGCTTTTTTGGCAGACATGCAACAGATAATCTCTGCACATTTTCCTGCCTAATCTGCTGCCCTCTGTTCTGTTCCTAGCCCTGCGCTCCCTCTATTATATCTGATGCTCTGCTTTCTAGTTCCTGCCCTATCTGCTGCTATAATGCCTGTCCCCTCCCAAGTCTGCTGCATGCCACATAGAAAGGCTATGGGTGCTGCAAGTTGGCCACCCCTGTTATATAATATGGGGAAAACTATTTAAAGCAGAAAACAACAGTGATTAAAAACCAAAATGAAATATGAACAGTATGGCATCATGACCTTGGTTCTACAATGAGATGCGTGCAAGTCGGATGCTGGCATGCTCACAGAATCCTTTTGAAGCACTGGCATCTAAATCATTTATTTTGATCTTCATTCTACTAAGGAAAAATGATCTCAGGTCACACCCTGTTTATATTAGTTTCCTCATCTGCAAAACTAAGATTCATACCTCAAGGAAGGAATTATGAGACTCAGCTCATTAAAGTTTGTAAAGCACTCTAAGGTCATTTCACATAAAGCCTAGTAAAAGTGCCAAGTAATATCATTCCAGGCACACAATAGAAAAATAAAAACCCAAGGAGAGTTTCTAATAGGCTGTTCTGTATTTTCAGTCCATACAGTTATAATAGGATGTTTTGAGCTTGCCTGTGTATATCTAGAATTCATGTCTCTTCCAGAGAACCAATTTAATATTTCACATAACCTGTTCCTTATCCACATTTTTAGCTACTACTGAACAATACAGATGGAATTTTTAACTTTACTGGAATTGAAAGACTTCTTGGGCCTCCAGTGAGTATATTCTGCTTTATTAAATGCTCAGAGTTGTTTCATACTTCAACATTTCTTTTTGGGCACCATCTCAGAGATTCACATATGGTCTCTATTAACTTCAGTGGAAGATACACAGGGGTATCTCAGAACAGAAATGGATCCTGTCTTGGTGTAAATGAATTTCCCTACATTCATTTAAAATAGGTTCTAAGGCAGGAGATTAGAGCTGGACAAGTTGTAAAAACAAACTGCAGGTGCCTGCCTAACCTGAGATTGGAGAAATAGTGCAAACAAGAAATAACTGGCCTAAACAGCCACAGCTCTCACCCATTTCAAGGAGCAAATCTTTCTATTTTTAAAATTCAACAATATTAAGGTACATTTTTTCACTTGTAAGCAGAAATGCTGAACCAGTCTAAATGAGATCGTTTGCATGGGGGGTGAAAAGTTAGCTTACACAAGAGCTTTTCATCTTGGGATTTTAAATTTGGTGTTACAGCCAGGATGTTGGGATAGTTCAATTAAACACATGAAATTTTGGATGTTTCCTGGTACTAAACTAAACCTCTAGCTTGACGCGAGATTCATCTAGGTGTTCTGGCAGCTCAGTACAATTCCATCTATGCAAAGCAAAGCAAAATTCATCTTAAGGTTAGTTTTGAGGTTTGGTCTTTGCAATCTTTTGGCCCAGTAACCAAACATACTGTTTCATATCTAACTCAAATTGACTATATCTTATGTATTTGTTTTCTTACATACTTCTATTCATTTCAAATGCTTGAATCCATAATTCAAGTGGACACAATTATACCCTGATGTACTTCCATTCTATTCCCATTTAAAATTGGAAGAAGCTAAATGTGTATATTGGATGGCAGAATTTAACTTCATGTAATTAGGGACTACCTACTTTGTGGGTGTGCGAATTTTGTGGAAACTGTGAAATTCAGGACTGTCCACAAAATCCACAAAATCAGCAATAAAAAAAATTAGTAAAAATAAATTGCTGGCTCCACAGTGGGAGCCAGCAGTCCTCGCTGCTTTAAGGGAAAGGTGCTGGGTAGTAGGGTGGCACAAAGGGCAGCAGATAAGATTGCTGCTGCCCCCTTGTTCCTTTTCCCCCTGCCTGGGCCTCTCCACCAATCAGTGCCAAGGGGTGGGGCCTCACAAAGGGGAAGCTAGCAATCAAGATAGCTGCTGCCCCCTTGTCCCTCCTCCCTCCTGGGGCTGCTCTGCCAGTCAGCACCAAGGGATGGGGCTGCCATGAAATGACCACAGAATTAGAACTTTACGCTGTGATCAACCCACAAAACATGGTAAGTCCCCACATGATTTAGATAGACCTCTACACATAACTGTAGTTTGGTTGATGTTTTTATCGTAAGAATTATATAAAATATATACTTTTTCAATCCTTCAATAAATTTGTGAAAATAACATTAGACTTGATTATCATTTTCATTCCAGTATCTCTGTAGCTATCTTAAAATTTTATGCTGTCACCCATCACAACAGTAATGGAGTACCTACCATGTGAGATCGTTAGCAAGCATAAGGTCCCTAATGTACTACTCAGAGTCACTGACATTTCTCCCTCTGAAATAAAAGCTGTACTTCAAGTAGAGTTTATGATTTAGACCTTTTTTTTTTTTTTTTAAAGAAACAAATTTGTTCATTTTTGCTCCTGTGGGAGAAAGGAAAGAGGCAGCGCCTAGGGGTTGGTTGTGTAGTAGGAAAGTGTCTTTGTTGGGTGTCATTGCTGGAAAAAATTTCAGAGAAGAAAGTTTTGAAGAGATGTCTAAAGATGGTCAGACTCTGGACCTCCTTGGGAAGTCTATACTATACTAGACCCCCTTAACCAAAAATGGACTTGATGTGCAAATGGTACTTAAGTCATAAGAAGGCAAGCCACTGTGCATCAACTGGTGCCTGTACAACACTTGGTGAAGAAGTCTGTATTCTCATTAGAGAAGAGTTCAAGGTTTCTAATTTTCTATTGCTCATATGAAACAAATTTATTTTTGAAGTCGTGTTGCCAATGGCCTCAGGCTTTTGCAATGTGGCTTTGAGACACTAACTAATGTATGAGAGTCTGAAGTTCTCAGGCAAAATCTTTTGGACAAGATCAATTACAGAAAGATAATTTAAAATAGATGACTTTCCTAAATTTAATGAAATGGATGAATATATGTTTTATATACTTGGTCAACCTTGTAGGAAAAGATAGTACAGGACTGCTGAGGGAGAGCTGAAAAAAGTAGAGGAAAAGATGTTAAAGGGAAAGAAAAATTATGCTTATAGAATCACATTAGAAAAATTTCTCTAATCTGAACAAAATTGTACCTTATATGCTTTTTCTTTTGTGTTTTGGTGGTTGATATTTTACTTCCTTTATCAATATTTTAAATACAGGTTTAAAAAAAACCTTTAACACAAGGGGCAAAATTTGGTCCACCTTAAAAGCAGACTAAATCTTAATTGTCTCCTTGAGTCTGGAAAGTTCTGTTTCAAAAGTTGTTCCTACCACCTTCCTTATAAGTTGTGCATTGGGATCTGCCAGACTTTTCCATCTCCATCTCCTCCAGGTGCTCTTTTTACAGTAACTCTATGTGGAACCCAGCAATTCTGAAACCATTTCTGCTAAACTAACTGCTGTTTAGCATGTCCCCCACCATGTTCTGCACCAAAAAACTGAGTAGTGCAGATAGTCCTAATTCAAGTAGCCCTACCTGTGTATGTCAACACAAGACACTTTACGAATTACTGTGCAGTAACTGTCTGCATCTCCATATGAAGATGCTTACTGCACAGTAATTGGCTCTAATTGTGAGTAAATTTGCTACCTGAAAATTCAAGTAGCAGATTTACTTGCAAGTTGGTACTGAGCAGTAGTGCACACATAGACACTGGACAGGAAGCAAATGTGCTCCTGGGCAGCAGGGGGTGGGAGATTGCTTCCTGCCTCTGAGAACTACCTGCTGTCAGGGAGGGCTCCACCACTGGAGTCGGTGTGGGGACAATGTCCCCCTGCCTTGGCAGCAGGGAGCACCCAAAACCAGGTCCGTGATCATGAGACTGGCACTGGGAGATGCTTATAAGAATTTTATAAGGATCTCCCAACCCAGCCTAGCAACTGCAGGACTCAGGCTGGGAGATGAGGATTTCCCAGTGCTAACCCCATGATTGCAGAGCTGGAACAGGGAGAGAAGGATCTCCCCACCTGGGTCCCACAATCATGGGTTTTGGGTTGGAAGATGAGGATCTCCCCACCTGGCCCCGCACCTGCAGAGCTGGTGCTGGAAGGGTAGGGTCTCCCAGCCCAGGCCCTGTGATTGTGAAGTGGGGGCTGAAGCTCCCTGCTGCCAGGGCAGGGGAACATTGTCCTTGCCCAGGCTTCGATGGCAGAGCCTGGCCCAGCAGCAGGCAGCTCCCAGGGGCAGAGAGCAATGTCTCAGCCTCCACCAGGAGACAGAGGAATATCCAGGCTGCTGCAGGGGCCTCTTGCAGTGTCATAGGGAGTGGGAGGAGTCTGCTGCTAGGAGCAGCATATCTGCTTTTGCATCCCTGCACAAGTAAACATATGCCCAGGAGACTTTACTCTGCTGTAAGTTCAGTGACATAGCAATGAAGTTTGGTGCCCAGGGCAAAGCCTGCCCTTGCCCTGTGCACAGATCTGAGGGGCACATGTCCCCCCATGCTTGCCCAGGAGTGCACAGTGGCAGGAGCCACTCTCCCTCCATTTCCATGCCCCCCCAAATGAGCCACTCATGGCGCCATCCTGCACCTCACCCTGGCAGCTCCTGTTTGTGCCCCTTCACTTCAGTGCCTGGGGCAGTCTCCCTGTTTGTCCCCCCTCCCCTCCCCTACTTACTACAGCACCGAGTAGGTTACTCAAGAGTAAATTGCATGTGTAGACTCACCCTGTTTTATTTTAGTTAAATAACTACAGCAGGCAACATGGTGGGCTGCAAAGAAAACAAACAGACCCCTTAGACCTCCCACAACTGGGAAGGAAAACCAGGTGGGGCAGGGATAAGCTGCCAGCATCAGCACAACTAGAATGGCAGAACTGACCGATCTGATCCAAGCTGGACAGTTAAGATTACTTTTTCATACATAGAATAGCTGCACATTCTTAAATCTGCTGTCTTGGGGATGGCAAGAGGGAGTAGGAAGGTAATGGTATGTTATCCATACCTCAGAATTACAATTCAGAATCCAAAGGACTCTCAGGACAGAATTACGTATCACCTAGTGGACAACACAAATTGCAGCTTGAGACCAATACTAAATTATAATGCTATTGTAAGGGTCTATTACCCTGCTCTGGAAACATGAGTGCCTCCATTATTGGAATAGGTTCTCCTTCCAGAGACATGCAAATATCTGGATATTCCTATAATAAGGTGGCTCAGAGCTAGGGTTAGTTCTATGCCACCTTTTGGGCATCTAAGGGGACTTAGGTGCCTAAATATGATTCTGTTACACCATGTTCAAGTCTTTAAACATCTATTAATACATCTACTTTTGTAGATCTTACCCTTAAGATTAAGTCACAAAAAAACAGGAGCAGGACCAACACATCTACTGTATTAACAGTTTTTCAGGAAGTCAAACTGGATGGAATAGAATTGCACTTAGGAGCCAGTGGGCGTGTCTACACAAGGTATTTATCAGCATCTATGCATGCAGTACTATTAGGCTGGAATAAACTAATTAACTCTGCCATAGGATAGTATTGCCCAACACAAATACTATCTTATGGCGGAGTTATTTATTCCACCACTACGTGCGTGTAAACACTGCGCCTGAGAGCAATAAACTCCAACACAAGTTGCGCTGAACTTTTATGTCAAATGAATTTCATGCATAGATGTGCCCTGTGTCTACTTACATGCTTAATAGGTGGGATAAAATCTGGCCCTTAATCTCAAGCAGCACTTCAGCCATGCACAATGTACAACAGAATCTGGGCCTCACTATGCTCGATGCAGCAACACTGATCTATGGGCTGCCTGCCATAGATCAGGCAGGCCTTGCTGGACTCCTTAGCAAAGGGATTAAAGGAGACAGAATTAAGGTTGCGTATGTGTGCAGTATGGGAAATATCACCTTAACTCAGCATTTCTCTGTTTCTTGTCCCCTTGCAAAACATTATAGTTTACTTCCCAAAACTCTAGTGCTGGAAATGTAAAGGGCTTTCAAAATTAATACAACCTTAATAAAGTGAAGTTGGTTTATGGAACATGCACAATCCATTTTGCAAGTATATAACATGTATTTATGCGAGTATTTTTGTGTTTTCCAGGGGCCAGATGGCAAGCCAGGTCTACCAGGATTTCCCGTAAGCACTGTGTTTTCAGGTTTTAAGTCAGTTATTAATTATGTGAATGAGCTAATTAATGTTTTAAAATGTGGCATTGTACAAAATTTGTTCAAATCCTGACAAATACTGAAACCTCATAAATGTCAAATGGGAAAATGTAAGTTAGATAAAAATAGATAGAATGTTACAGTTATTGTAGTAATGAACACTTGCTAAGGAAGGTTTTAAAAGATGCAGTAACCATTTTGGAACAGGAATTTCTTGACATTTGTACCTAACACTTAGATTAAATTTAATTCAGGCTATATTTCAAATCAGTAACGGAACTTGATAAGGAATTGTCCTAGAAAATTTAATCAAGATAAAACCAAAAATGGTCTAAAGGAATAACTTTTAAAAACCTTTAAATTGCTCATATTGTATTTTCTTTGTATTTTTCATGTTAGTTTCATAATTCATTTTAATTATTTATTTTGTTCTCTTACTGTAAGCTGCCCTAAACCTTTGCTGGTAAGGACAGCATGTAGATCTAATAAATAAATAAATAATACCTTTTTAATGCTTTTTGGGCTATCCTACAGAATATTGTAGCAGGGCCAAAATAACCTGTTAAATTCTATAGAATGAGATAAAGAACTATGCCATAAGTTAATGTCTCTAAAATTCTGTTTTTCATAAGTTTTATGCTATGACATCAAGAAGCCCTTTTACTTTAATTTATGTCTTCAAGATTACAGGATTTTCAAAAAGTTTCAAAAATTATTTTAAGTTTGTCTTATATTTAATATTTGGACATAGGATCCAGGCTGCAGAGTTCATAAAGAGAAATAAGAAAGAGCTAAGGGAGGGAAATTTCAATTTGAATTGCTACGAGATGTTGGCAGTAGGGTGTGCGAAGCTTGAGTCTCTGATTTAATTGGGCAGAGATTTGGCCTGATTCAACAGCTGGATCTCCGAATCCAAATTGAACCAGGAGACCCTTTAATCTCTCCGAATCGAATCAGAACCCTCTGAATCAATTCGGAGAGGTTCAATGATTTGGACATAGACACAGCTTTAAATGTTTTTTCTACATACCTCAAGGTCCCAGGTGGCTCATGAACATGGAGATGGTGGGGCAGATGGAGCATCCCACGGGAGTGCGGGGGGGTCCCCAGCCTGCTCAGTGGGGGACCTGGAAGTGGACCAGGAGCACTTCTAGTCCACTTCTGGGTTCTCCGCAGAGTGCACAGGGGACTCCAGCTCTGCAACTGGTGCCTCCTGGCTCTGGGGGGGCACCCGGGGTCCCCCCATGGCCAATTGCTGAGCCAGTAGGGTGTGGGGGTGGGAGATCCCCCACACGCTCGGCAGTGGACTGGAAGTACTTCCAGTTCACTGCTGAGCACATGATGTGGGGGGGAGGGGGGGAAGAGGCCCCCACACTCCTGTGGGACGCTCCATACACCGCACCATCTCAGCATTCATGAGCCATGCCTGGTACCTTGAGGTATGTGGAAAAAAACATTTAAAGCTGTGTCTATGGCCGAATCTCTGATTCTCTGAATCAGCATCAAATCTTCAGATTCGGATTCGGCTGAATCGAATCAGGACAGTGATCCAAATCAACTAATTGAATCACTATCCCCTGACTTGGGCCAAATCCAAATCAAATATGGCCCGTTTTGCACACCCCTAGTTGGCAGCATGCTAGCAACTTGCTTACTCATTCTTGAGAAGATTATGTTTACAAGGTGCTGGGTATTGTGTTCTAAAATATAAATAGCAGAGCTTGGTTCTTTTATTAAAAATGAACTGATAAGCTTTTAAAAATGAACATAATAAATTGTGCAAGATCCCTAATAATTAACAGAATAGCTGCACATACTTAAATGTCATTCTCATCCCTGCCTTAGCTGATAATGTTGTTCTTTAGGAATGCAAGAGAAGGAGATGCTTAAATTCAGCTCATGATGGATGGAAAGCTTCTAAACATGCTTTTAATGGAAGTTTGCAGCACAAAATACAGCCATAGAACAACTGTAAGGGCAGTGTTAGAATTATCTGAAGCAGGCAGCAGTGGCTTTAGACAAAGGACAGAAATTCCTGGGAGGGTTAACTCTGGAGTGAGTGAACTTGCAAAATTTCAGTTACCTAAAATTAAACTTGGCAAAATGTAGAAACATCTTATCCTTAACTGGTTTCCAAAAAGCTCTGATCTTAAATACAGTCTTCTTTTTTCAACTCTTTTAGGGTCCCCAGGGACCAAAAGGTGATGCTGGATTACCTGGACTGCAAGGGCCAAAAGGACAACAGGTGAGAAGGAATTAGTAGCAGGCCTTGTGTTTTAGGGAGATGAATACGTTCCAAAATACAACATGGAGAGCTAATGTCTGGCAGCTTAATCCCTTATCATTTTCATAGTCTGGCAATAATTGTACTGCCACCCCTTCCCTTAAATTTTTAGACATGTACAGCATGCGTCTGCACATTGCCATATGGTGACATTGCTATTGCAACGTGCTAAAACACGGCACAGTAATTGCCTGTACTGTGTGCTTGGCACATGGTTAGATTTTGTCGCTATGTCACCATAGAGGCATACCAAAATGGGGGAGTGAGCCACTATAGCAACATAGCTTTCTGTCATGTGTAGACCTACATGATCACAACGTTGCTGTAGCATGCCATACAGCTATGTATAGACACACCTGTAGGGAGCCCCATTGGCTGGGTGATGTGGCCTTTCATTCTGAGTTGGGCTGGTTGCAGCTGAACCCAGCACATGGCCCTGGACCCAGAGCCTGGGGTTGGATCTGACTCATGGACTGGCTGTCCCCAACTCCTCCAGCCCACACACTGAAAAGGTTAGGCACTACTGCAGTAGAATGTCACTAGAGTACAATGTTCTCTTAGCTGAGATGGACATTTATCTGCATAATTTTGGTGAAATGGGTAGTTGTTGGTATCAAGACAATTGTTGCACTTCTTTGAAATTTTGGGAAAGTTGGTATAATCAGGTTGTTGAGGTTATTTAGGCTTGGGGTTGGGCAATAGCAGCAGCTTGGATGGCCAGACTGAAAACAACTTTGTTGCACTGGAGAATAGTTATACATGTGAGTGGCTCAGTTGAATAAATTGGGAAAACTCCCTGGAGTCATAAGTCTCTAGGCCTAAGTACAGACATTCAAAAAGCCTGAATCGATTCAATCTTTGCAGGTGAGTGCATCCTGGGTAGATTGAACCAAGAATTAAGTAAATAGACATTCAACGTTCACTTTTGATTCTGGAAATGCAGTCATATGTGTGCAGTGGCTCAGGCTAGAAGCTGAGGGGCACTAGAGCAAGCCCTCCCTTCTTTTTGGCAATGGCCAGAAGGCTGGAGGGAAGCTGAGCTGAAAGGCCCTGGCAGGCTGAGTATGATTGGGGAGGGGTTTAAACCCCCACGATGGCCTGCTGGAACCCCAGCCAGGGTGTGCCTGGGGTGGGGAGGGGGAAACAGTCCTTGCCAGGCTTTGTGG